GGGCCTTGAATCGGGAATGACGGGCGCGGACTGCTGCCACCTCGGCGCCGGGCTGTTGCGTCCAGATGACGGGCCGGCCGACAGAGCCGGGGATTGCCCTCGCGGCGACGCCTTGGGCTCGTCGGGCCGCGGCGCCTGTGGTCTCTGCGCTGGTCTCCTCTCTGGTCGCGCGCCAGAGTCGAGCATCATGGCCTCGTCCGTCGCTTCTGCAGCTTGTCTCCTGGGTGCAGGCTGGCCCTGTTCTTGTTGTGCCGAACGCATCCACTTCGGCTGGTTGGGGTCTCCCTCGGGCTGGTTGAATTCAGCGTAGGCCTGCGCGACCTGTTTCTTGCTCGTCTTCCAAAACGAGTTGGCCGCCTTGAAGACACTGCTTCCCACAGCCGCGGCGGCCTTGGAGAGGTCATCGCCGGCAGCGGGTGACCTAGAACCCGTCCGCCGGGGCCCATCGGCTCGTCCTTCGTCGCGATGTCGCCTGGACTCGGCCAGGGGATCCTTTCCCTGTGCCTTCGCTTTTGATTGTCGATGCGCATCGTCGAGCAGCCAGTTCGCCGCCGCTTGCACGTTGAGGCCAGCACCACTCTCCGTCAAGCCTCGCCTGGCGTTTTCGGATGTGAAGCCGTAGTCCACGAGCTGCGCGACAGCATCGTCAAACGCGTCCGACTGGCCTTTTCCTCTTCGTGGAGGCTGCACAGGTGCTTCATCGTCTGAGCTCGAGTCGAAGCCCTCGATAGGCTTGCCTGCCTCGGGCTGCTTCGGTTGTGGGGAGCGCTTGCGCCGTACCTCCTCCACCGGTTTCGCCAGGTCACCCAGAAAAGTCGTCATCGTCGGCCGTGTTGGTCGGACGCCTTCGACGCCGCCGGTGCCGCAGCGGTTAGCCTTTTCCCTTAGTGTTCAAGCCGAAAGGGTCGTCGTCGTCATCGTTCAAGTCGACATTGCTCGGGCTTGCGGCGGGCGCCTTGTTCCAGGAGGTCGGATCGCTCAGATCAAGTGCCGGTGAGACGGGCTTGGGAGCCGGCGGGGGGTAGTGGCTCGCATTGTCGACCTTGGTATCCTTGTTGAACGCCGCGAACAGGTCGTCATCGGCGCTCGCGCTGGCGCCGACCCCGTGGCCGCTCGACGTGGCCGGGGCGCCGCGACGGCGGCGCCAGCGCAGGCGACGCCGTGCGCGACGCAGCGTTGCTGTTGCCGAGCGTGTCCCAGAACTGCCCGCTGCCGAAGCTCGTCTCGGCCTGTTTCCGCCTCTCCTCGGCCTTTTGCCTCTTCTCGGCCTCGAGTCGCTCCTGGCGCTCGCGCAGGGAGAGGTTCGCGTTGGGCTTGGCGGGGCCGCCAAAGTTCAGGAGGTTGCTGAAGCTGTCGGCGGGGGCGGCGGGGGGTTTCGTCTGGCCGCCGACGACGGGCGGCGTCGAGGGCTTGCTCTGCGTCGTCGAGAGGGGTGTGTTTCGGCCGGACTGGAAGGGCGAGGGCGAGGGGTTCAGCTGGGCTGAGCCGTAGTAGTTGGCGCCTGGAGGGATGGAGGGGGCTTTTGGCTGTTGTTTGGTGCTCGATGCGGACCAGTCCAACCCGGAGAGGTCGTCCATTTTGGAGGCGGGAGAATCGGGTATCGATGTAACTCTATTGTCGGAGGATCATGGAGTGTGGTTCATAAGGTCGTCAGAAGGAGATGCAGGATGCAATGGCATGTGTCGTGTGAGGTGGATCGAGAGGTGGGAGCCAGGAGCTCCAGGCCAGCTGGTGCTTGCCGTCTCTGGTGACACGCGCAGCGGGGCTGGCTGCTGACATAAGCCGCCGTCTTGACGTCTCAGGCACCTCGGATACGTACCTCAGGTAGGTGAGGTTGTTCAGACCCAGGTACTTGACAATCGTGGACAGGCAGTCTGCATGACCATGGGTATTCATGTTTAATATCTAGCTTCTTCTTTACACATTTGCTCACGCGCAGTCCGTCTTGTGAAACCTGCCTGACCTCACGTCTCGAACCACGCATGGTTTAGCACCTGATCAACTGTGGGCCTCTCAAACTTCATACTGCAACATCCACCGCAGCAAAGACAGAATCGTCTTCTCTTCGTCCTCGTCAACGTCTTGAGGTTTGTTGTCCCCAAAAAGCTTCTCCAGCGGATCGCAGGGCAGAGGAGGGCCAAACCCTCCCGTGGGGAACTCCATCTCGTCGTCATCGAAATCGTCCTCCTCCTCCTCCTCTTCATCCAAGTCGTCATCAGAGTGGAGGGAATCTTCTTTGGACTTTCCAACCGCGGCATCCAGACGTTCACCGTTGGGCCCGAAGTATCGGCCCGCTCTGGGCCACTTACTCGTTATGCTCTCAGGCAGTGGCGAGAGGACCTCCGCGAATTGGATCATGTGATCATCGTCCAGAGCTTCGTCCGCATTGCCCATGACAGCCAATTGAAAGAGTGGCATGCCGGTCAAGAGCTCGAACAGGAGACAGCCCAAGCTCCAAATGTCAATACTACGGCTAACAGGACCGCCGAGGATGGTTTCTGGCGCCCTCAGGGCGACTGGCGTAACAATTCGCGGGGGAGGCTCACTCTCAAAAAAGGCTAGTCCAAGACAGTGTGTTAGAGAGCATGAGACGCAAGATGAGAGTGGTAACCTACCGCTTTCCAAATCGATGATCTTCACGTGTTGCTCCTCGTCTGTACGAACGTAGTCGTTCAGGGGCATCGCGACGATCAAATACTTGGGAGCCCACTTGTCAATCTTGCCAACTTTCCGTTTCAAATACTCAATTCGGGAACTGTTGATGTCCTGTCGGAGGTCATCGACACTAATCAAATTCAAGTCCCTCACGGAGAATAGCATGTTGCCTGACTGTAGGCCGCCGTGCACAATGTCGTTCGAGTGAAGGAAGCGAAGACCGCAAAGAACGTCTCGTAGAATCGCCTTTGTCTTCTGTGTTGAAAATCGCCGGGGCTGCATGTTGCGCAAGTCGAGTATCTTCCGCGGAGCATTGAGAATGGAGGATACGCTGGGGCCCATGGGCTCGAGAATCAAACATGGATGATGCCCGTTTGGGCCCTCCTGGATGAAGGAGTCCAAAAGAGCCACCACATAGCGTGAATCGGAATCTTCGGCTGCTTTGCTCGCCAGATCTCGTTGAATGGCAAGATGTGCGTGGTTGCCGTTTTTAGAGACACCAATCTTCAGGACAACGAATCGGTTGGACCTAGTAGACAGTCATCAGTTGAGCTCAGTGCACGCATTGCGGGATGCCAACCTAAAGTCCAACGCTAGCCAAACAGTTGAATACGACCCATTTCCAAGTTTCCGAATGATTTCGTAGCGATCGTTCATGATGTCTCCGAGATGGGTAGGGTGGAACCCTCCTGGCCGATAGGATTCAGCCCATTCGCACGGGATGCCAGTCTCCGTAAACCTCCACTCTCTCTGCCTGGCAGATGCCTGAGCCGGCGGGGTTGCTGGCTCTGACATGTTCTCTTTGGAGGAAACGAGCGTGCGAAGTATCGTATTGTGGAGAGGAGAGAGATGAGGAGCGTGACCGAACCCTTTGGCTGGCCGCCGTGGCGCTAAATTGTATTGCGGCGCTTCGAGACGCTCCGTGACGGGCTGATTGATTGACCGCCACCTTTGCGGTCTTGTTCCTATTTATTTTTGTTTCTTACCCTCTGCTTTTAAAGTTTTTGAGACCCTTCAACACGACACCACTCTCTCTGCTTTTAAAGTTTTTGAGACCCTCCAACACGACACCACTCTTTTGGATAATTGACATGAGAAAATCAGTTTGACAGTGTGACTTACCTGCCTTGACATACTTGGTGGATGTAGGGTACGCCGTAGGTCTTCCACGTTACCATTCCCGACACCTACCCGGTCTTCTCACTGGCGACGTGGAGGGTGTTGCCATCGGCCTCGCGTCAGGGAGTTGATGCGTAGATGCCGACCTTGTGGGATAAATCCCATCCGTTGTTGTATTTTTCTTTTAGCGGGCAAGACAAACACGTGCAGGGCCGAGTCGAGTCCTTCACAGGATACACCAACGGATGGAGCGGAATCAGCGCCTCTCCTGCGGCAAGGGACTTCACAGACGGGGGGCATGGGATCCTGTTCGCGGAACGATGGACGTGGACGTGTTCTCAGCTTGAATGGAACGTAGTGTTAGCCCGAGGAAAACCGCCCTGACGAACACCAAAACTGAGAGATGGCTGGCGGTGAAGTTATGAATCCAGAGGCAAAATCCAAGAAGTGAAAACCTTTGTCCAAGTCGCTAGCGCGCCAGAGATGTCTTATGTAGGTAGTTCAAGAACTTCCACGATATGGATCTCGCGAACTCTCAGCAAATCTTATCGTTTTCTTGAGATACTTGATCACAGGTAACGCCACGTAAGCCACCAGGCAACGAGTTCCTGGAGAGCAAATGGTTTGATCTTTATGTGAAAGGATTTGAGGCTTAGTTGGAGGTCCAATTCTTCTCTACTGCTAGGCTCTAGGCTTATTACGCCGTTCAGCCCTGGCCTCAATTGGGTTCACCTATCAAAGTCTCATGCTCGACGATTCATTTGCAAGGTGGTAGCGGCGGGTTTCCATGGCGGTATCTCGCTCCAGCTTCAGTGACAGCTGGACTTGACTTGATAGTCAAATATGATTAATGAAGCCTTCATAGTTGGCCAACTCTTTTGCTGGGTAGCCCGGCCTTACGAGATTCCATGGCATCAGAAACAACGGTACGTGATGTTCTGTCAAGTTCACTGAACGAAGCCAATCACGGTGTGAGCTGGGCTGTATACAACACCCACGAGCCACTTGTGGTCATTGCGAGCGAGCAAAAAACGTAGTGGAACTAAACAAAATCCTTCCAGGCAGGCCGCCGTGTTGTGCTGTCGACCTTCAAGCTATCCGTTCCCTCGACACAAGGGACGTCTCGTCGTGCACGAGGGCGAAATAGTGATCACCCACACATGTCGTCATAAAGCGGGAA